CGCACAAACGCGAGCGCGGAAACAAAGTGTTTGCACACCGCACATGTCTCGTTAGCTTGTGTGTTTTCGTTTGTCTTTTGTTTTTTTCTCGAGGCGGGCTCGCTGTAGAGACAAAGAGGCAGATGTCACATTTGGAGAAAAAAAAATGCCTTGAAGTTTATTAATATGTTTGTTCTTTCGTATCTTCAGATAAGACGTGAGGGCAGGTCGCTCAGCAGAGGGATAATCTGAAGCTTGATTTTTGTGTGTTTGTGTGTGTGTGTGTGTGTGTGTGTGCGCTGTGGAGAGTGTGAGAAGGAACAAGTGTATCTGACAGGACAGGTGGCTCCATTGTGTCTCAAGCCATATCTTCAACAGTCAGGGGTTTGTGTGTGGAAGACAGGGAAGGAGAAAGAGGGTCAGCAAGGTGCAGGAAGAGGAAAGTAAAGAGAAACTGTGTAAATCACAGGTGTAAATATATGAAACAGAAGAGGTGTTTAGCCCGTTTTAGTCGCCAAATCAACATAATTTCCCTGTGACGCGCCTAATAAAACAATAAAATGTCATCATTTATAGACTGTGACTCACTAGTTGGACCACCGTGAAACACAGAAAGAACAAAGAGAGAAGAAGGGATAAAGGCAGAGGCTTTACTTCCACTTCCCTTTTATGAATTAGCATTTCATTCTAAAAATACCTCTCATAAACACTGTGCATCACCAAGAAGACTTGATGTCCCGGTCGCAACGCTGTGAACCATCTAGACGGGATCACAGGGAGGTTAAAGACGCGTTAGAAGGGAAAATGAAAGGCCTGGATCACCTTCGGGCTGTTGTATGTATCCATGAACATCAAGTTAGTATTTATAGCGCTGAATCGCTGTTCTGATGTCGAGGAGCTTCTCAGCGGCCACGTTGGGAGATGGGGAATTAAAACGGTAACAAGTAAACAGAAGGGAAGTCTGTTTTGACTTGTGATTGTTAGACAGAGATCCCTTTTTTTTTTAGAATGATGGGAAATCCTAAAGAAACAGAAGTGATTAATTGGAAAGCAGTTTTATTTTTATTTATTTTTGACACCTATATGTTGCATGCTCTCAGGAAGAAAAGATTCTCAGCTGTTGAATTTTTTAAAAGTGAAGAAAAGTGCAACATATTCATAATAACTTAAATGGACCATTATCCCTCTGAACCACAGTTTGTTGGCATTTTTGCTCACTGTGGACTCACCTTTCTCTGCAGTATACCACCTCTATGGAAACAGCACAGCCATAACTAGAAGTAGAGACATCTCAAAAAACATCTTATGTGCAGCATGACACAGTTAAAATGCCACAGATTAAAATAAAAAGAAAAAAAAGAGGAAAGTTGAATTCCTTTGTTTATTTTCCAAAAATTAAAAAAAAAATGGAATCATCATAGACAAGAATTTTGCATTTTATCAATATTGTAAAATATTGTGGCTGCACATAGTGCAGATATTTTACTTTTTATATTTTTCCTTTGTATACTCCCATCTTTTACACAGCCTGCGCTTTAGCTAAATAGTACCTGAATTTTTGTCATGTCGCAACCGGTGGCAGCTCAGTCACAAGAGGAACGCATAGTTTTTAATTTTTAGAATGTAGTTACTGCAAATGATTAACTTCTGAGTATTTGTTTTAGTGATACATGAAGAACAAATGTGATTTTAGTGAAATATCACAACTTAAAGCATAGATTTGGATAATTTTCTCTCCATATCGCACACAATTAGTTTAAGGAATGTTTGGAAGTTAAAAATCCAGTGATTCCATCTGTTTTTGCATTTTCTGGCTCTGATAAATGAGAATTTTGTGATTTAAAAAAACAAAAAACATGCCTTTCAAGTCTACTGGCCAGTTTTGAGGTGTGGAGGTGTGTTTAAAAGCCAGTGGTGCAATTTTAGCTTTTAAAATTGTGCAAAGTAACGCAGCCTTTCTCTCTTTCTATCAACACTAAGGACACACAAAATCACGCTTGTGGTGTGACTTAGCACATTGTATGTTTAATGAACATGACGTAGTCTCCCCAGCTTTCAGTGCTAACCCTGCTAGCATGCTATAGCACGAGTTCACTGCCAAAACTTTCTAGATGGAGTTTAGACACTGATAGTCAGTCACAGGACACTGAGGTTTTGGTACCAATCAGATGGAGTATATCTGCAGTTACAGGTCTACTTTAGCGCAACCATTAGCATGCTTACTCCTTAAGAGAATGTATTACACTTAAACATCATTAAGTCATGGCTGATGCAGAGGGATCAGATGTTGTCTGTTTGACTGATCAAGCAGTTCTATTGATCCAACACCTAATGTGTGTAATATTTTAGTGTGTTCAATATGGCGTTTAATGTTTTAAATGCCACATGAGTAGATAGTTTGAGTTACTATGCGAGAGACAAAGAAAGAAAAGAATCTGGCTCAGAACAGAGCCTTGAGGTTCTCCACAACCAATAAATGTACCAAAAAAATGGAGTTCAGAGTGTCGTAAGAGACACAGTAACCCTATTTTCAGACACTGCGTTCTGTGTCTGGATATATTCAGATGGTGCCTATATATATCTCTCCCAGGCAGACTGTGCTTTACATCACATGCAAATACCACAGATTAGTTCTGCTTGTAGTTCAAGCTCGGCTCTAAAAAACAAATGCAATGATGACCGATTTCTGTTCTTGACATTCCTATGTGATACTTACATGAACTACGGTTGCAGACAATATTGATATTAGGATTGTTTTTTTTAGTTTATCCTGTTTAAAAGTTCAAAAAGCTCTTTGGAGAGCTCATGAATGCAGGTCGAAAGTTTACAGGCGAGCACCGGGGCAGGGCAGTCGTATCTGGGGGAACTAATTTAAGCTTTAAAAGTACATAAACAGCTTGTGAACTATCATGAGAGCTGCCTGAGAGGAGGCAACATTATCTGCAATTAGAGCAGAGCGTCTTGTGACTGCAGCTCGTCATCATGGGTTAACTCGTCCAGCACAATGAGGCCCTTCACAAGACTCGCTGCAGACCTTTCAGAAGGTGGAATTGGATTTGTAGACGTAACTGAGGGACTTGTGATTTCACAAGTGCACTCGGGGGCTCTTTTGAATCAGACGCTCAGAGAGTAGATGTCTAAGTTTGTTTTTTACCACACAAGTAACATCCTGTGGTGAAACTCCAGCTCGGGGTTGATGCTAACATATTCAAACATCTCATAATGTAACTTTATACTGTAGATCTGATATCACCGTCGAAACCAGAGCATCATCTCTGAAGTATTCGTGCAAGCCTTCTGGTTTCTGGATATTCTGCTCTGACCTATATTCACTGGAGCGCGGCCAACACATATTGAATAGCTACAGCATCTTGATATGGTTATAAGTTTCTTAGCTTCAGAACATTCTGGTCACGTACTTAGCGAGCTCATGCTATCACAGCAATCCACAGCTGACTAATCTCCCCAACCCACGAGTTCTGCTTAAATTTTCGAAAATATACAAGTGCCTGTAATTCAATAAATCAGAAATCTGCACTGGGGGGCCGCACGGTGGGGCAGTGGTTAGCACCGTTGCCTCGCAGCAAGAAGGTCGCCGGTTCGTGTCCCGGTGAGGACACCCGAGATCTTTCTGCGTGGAGTTTGCATGTTCATCCCGTGCAGCGTGGGTTCTCTCCGGGTTCTCCGGCTTCCTCCCACACAGTCTAAAAACATGTTGAGGTGACCCTAGTGAGGATTAAGCGGTGTATAGATGATGGATGAATGGATAAATCTGCATTGTGGCTATATACTATTAAACTGCATGATGCAAATAGGAAACAAACTGCAGCATCATCACATCAAATGGAAAAGTTTTTTTGCATAACTTCAGAAACATTCATTTCTATCTTTTGTCTCACTGAAAACTTTGCGACCTTTAGTCAAATTTCTAATAAAATTCTGCGTGCTTGAATGATGCTGGCCCACTCGAAATGCATTTGCAATGATCCGCCCACCGAGGGTTCTGCAAGAGGTTAAAGCAGCATTTAAAACCAGCAGATTTTGGAAAGGAGGTAATACAGATAGATTTTAATGGGCACTGAGAAAGCACTGTGCTGTGTGTGTGTGTGTGAATGTGCACATCCGTGTGCAACGAGGATGTTGTGTTTGGCTCGAAGACGCCGCCGAGGGCAGCGGGGGCTCGTATGTGTGTGGTCATTTGGGCTTGAGAGAAACTTGCGGTACTTTGAAACATGTCAGAGAGGAGATGGATGGGTTAGCAGATGGATGACTGGATCTAAGACACTGTAGCAGTAATCTTATCAGTTTTGCAGGAGGTTTGGCTTGTTTTTATTCCTCATTCCCTGAGGGCACAGTGCCAGCTTAGTTTGACTGAATCACTGCAGCAGGCTCCAGAGTAGTACAGCAGCACATCTCAATATGCACTTACAATGTGGTCTCTGGTATTTTATTTTAGCCCAAAATGGCTTTATATGATGTTGGGAGCAAATATTGGCATCGGGTACGACAGGTTGTGTGTTATGTTATGACACCTTGAAAGCCCAGATGGAAAGACGAGCATATCAGATTGGTTTTTGTTTTTTTGTTGCTTTTATTCGACCAGTTTGACAAAGTCCACAATGTGGTTTGTGATGCTTTGCTGTAGGTATCTCTGATCTGAGATGTCTGCCTCCCCTCCGGGAAGAGCTTTCACGTCAAGATGGGCTCCATGCTGTGATTAGTGTCTTTGTCAAGTCAAGGCAGGGCCGTCATTACTTAAACTGACACTGTGACATTCTCAAGAAGCATCAGTATCGTCTAATCCGATCCTGACATTACGGTTAGATCACTTGCAATATGTAACAGGACAAGCATTTTTCAAAATCGAGTTTGGTGCTTTGAAGTAGGGGCAAGAAGCATATTTGTTCATTGCAGTGAAATCAATCTAAATTATTTAACCTGTTTGATTTACTACCAGAGCGTTATGTGTCCAGACATATTTGACCAACTGTTCCCTCCCTCTGTTTTTCTCCTCTACCCAGATGTTGGAGCCTAAGGTGGATGCCCCTTCATGTGAGCTGGGCGGAGTAGGAGGAGATCGAGGAGGTGTTTGCCTCCACCTGCCCCCTCGAAGCTCCGAGGGCGAGGAAAGCAGCCTGTATCCCTCCAGTCCCTCCGAGCCCCCGACGCTGGGCAGCCCTCACCCCTCAGAGCCGCTCACCCCTTTGGATGAGATCTACATGCCCCTCGGAGGTCTGGTGGGATCCGAGGAGCGACACAAGGTGCCTCCGACACCACCTCCTTCCACGGAGGGCGAGGACTGCAAGAGTATAGAGGGGCACGAGATGGAGATCTGGAGAGAGAGGAAGGATGAGGAGCACAAGGGGGACATAGAGGAGGAGGAGGAGGAGGACAGGGCCAGCAGAAAGAGTGCAGGGAGTGAGGGGGAGGAAAAAGAAGGAGATGAAGGTGACAGGAATGAAGAGGAGGTCAACCTGAACCTGGTGGTGTCCAACACGGACGACGACAACGTCTCGGAGCCGCCTGACACCAACGCCCCCCCTTCCTCCTCCTCGTCCTCCTTCGTCATCCCTGAGCTGCGCCTCGACCGCTCCTTCAGCGCCGACGCCCTCTCCTCGCCCAACACCGACGAAGAAGAGTACGACGAGGACGAAGACGAGGAGTCCGAGGAGGAGGAGGACGAGGACGACAGCGACGACGCCTACCTGCAGCGCAGCGACAGCAAGCGGCGCAGCATGGTGGAGGGGGCCACCTGCGAGAAGCACGGCGGAGGAGGGCTCAGCGTGCAGAACTCCCTCCGCAGGCGCACGCACAGCGAAGGCAGCCTCCTGCAGGACCCACGCACGCCCTGCTTCACCTCCGACAACGCCATCAACTGCCTGGAGGCCGGGGGGTCGCACCACAAGGGCGGCTGGACGCTCCCGTCGCCCAAAACCTTGAAGAAAGAGCTGACCAAGAACGGAGGCTCCATGCATCAGCTGTGCATGCTGTTCTCTGGGAGGAAGGTAAGCAGCTTCACCCTGAAATAACAACACACACTGAGCACACAGGAGGAGGAAGACGAGCCACAACAAATACAATATTACTGACATTTGATATGTAGCAGTACAAAGCAACAGAGCTCAGATTTCCTTTCCTTGCGACCTCACGTGTGAAGTGAAATGCAGCTCTATGAGTACATCTCTCTGACACTTGCATCAGCAATGAGTGACTGATCTAACAGCTCAGGACCAAGTTTCAGTTCACTTGTTTCTGTAAAAAGGGTGACATCAAGTGGTAAAGCCGAGCAAGTGCACAAGAATCCTGCAGCGTCAAGCAAGAATATTCAGCCTTTTATGTCAAGTTTATCTAATACAAGCAAAAATAAAAGGAATACCACTTTTAGAACAGCAGACATATAGAGCAGACACATACATGGATAAATCAGCAGTGCATCACAGCTTGATTTGTAACACAAGGACAGACACGTGCCTGAATATTCAGTACTATCTGTCGCCTAAAATGTGTGATCAGTTGCACGATAGAATTGTTTTGCAGCTATTTGCTATGTGCTGCCAAGCGGAGTTAGATAGATTAAATATATATAAATCTGAGTTGCATGTAAGTCTGAATGCATCATACACAAGCAGGCAGGATAATGATGGTAAAATATTAAATGCACAAGAAAATGCACTCAGCCTCATTTGCATTTATATAAACCAGCAGCCAAGAGTCAAAAATAACAATTTTCTCACTCTGACTGTTTCCACTGCACCACATAGTCACATCATAGAAGATGTTTCTGCATATAGAGCAAAAGCAATTTCTCCCAAAGTTTGATTGAGCAACGTCAAAGGGAAGAGTCGCCGTAAAAGCCGGCTTAATCGGTGAAGTTACATTTTTGCTCTCTCATAGACGGAGAGTATAAACAAGACATTCCCAACATAACAGGAAAACAAGGACACTTTGAAAGAAGTCATTTATTAACTTTCTGAACCGCAAAGCCCCCCCGGCGCGTTTGAAAGGAATGTTATCTTTAAAAAAAATCTCAAACCATCACCACATGACACCGTTTATCAGAGCCAAAATAGTAAAAACAGAAAGAATCACTGGATTTTGAACTTTGTTCGGTGTTTGAACTACACATTGGTGAAGTACTGCGCTGTCTGGAAAATAAAATAAAATAAAAAAATAAAATAAATGAACAAATCATCTGTTCTAACCCGATTAGATGAAAAAAGGAAAAAATTCTACACTCCTCATTGCAACCCAGAATCCATTAGTGACTCTGTGTTTACACAAAGCAGACAGAAGGAAAGTATGAACCTAATTAAAAATGTAAGTACTGAAATATGTACAGTATGATT